TTTTTTTTTTTTTTTTTTTTTTTTTAGGGTTCAAGGAAGAATCACGAAACTTTGCAGTTATATTATAGGGTATAACTCCGCAAAAGTTATCGGTAATACGATGATAGATGTGAAATTAACCGCGTTCATGAATAATATCTCAAGGGTAGAAACTACGATACGCATCGGTTGTCAAACTATACGTACATGTATCTCTTGCGCGTACATTACAAAGGAAAAAGAAACGAAAAATGTGAATTATCATATTCATCGTTAGAATTTATATGCTGGTTATTGAAAATAGAAAAGGAACGCACGTAAACCTCGTTAATGCGATTTTCATGTTAAATTTCTAGCAGTTGACGAGGAAAGGTTGAATGAGATTTACTGACATCCATTTAGACAACTGGCAATAATGAAAGCTTTAGACTGCTTTGACTTCAATATAATGTTAGCAATGACAAATGTGAAGGAACATCATAAAACGTACTTACCAATCAATTCACATACTTTTTGACAAATAAATTTTTTTACGTGTTTCAACTGCAATTTTATATAATACTTAAATAATCGACGTATAATAATTATATTATTCGTTATTTTTTCTTTTACTTTTTTTTTTCAAATGAAATATTATTCCCTGTTCAGAACACTGTTCCTAATATTTCAACCCTTTCCAATATAAAACGACATAATATATATATATATACACTATAAAATATTTAATCACTATTAAATATCATTTAGTGTATCCAAAAGTGTATTCCAAAGCAGACATGATGAAAACTTGGACATGGGTTTATTATTTATTCTAGTTTACTGTCTACCGAGTCGAGAAGTGTGTTGTTTTAAATTATTAAAAATATTCCATCACTACGTGCGACAGTGATATAGAAATTTTTAATGAAACGAGAATTGGCTGAGTTCAGTCGAAGTTAACCCTATTTCATTAATGATATTATTAAATTTTTATCAAACTCTTTGCTTCAGATGATGAAGTTCAAGCAACAGGGGCTAGTCGCGGACTTGATGCCCAATATAAAGCTGATGAAAGCTACCGGGCACTTCATGTTCAATTACTATAGCGACAGTTCCACCAAGCATATACACAAAATCTTCTGCATCGTACGTAAGACGTGTAACCTAACGAGATTATTACAAAACTATCTTACACAAGAGGGAGACCTCTTATTCGATATTCGTAATTATTCTATTACTCGATCGATATAAACAAGCAATTTGTATTCACCGGTTCAAAACGGATAGTTCGGCAATTTTCGAGAAATAAAAGCAGAAAGAAGGTGGATGAAAGGAAAATTTATTGATAAATTAATCCTCATCGGTGCCTTGTTTTCCCAGCTTGGGGTGTTAAATTAACGCAATAAAAATAAAAGTATCTACAGTGGTAGAATTATCCATGATGAAAGAATAAATAGCTAAGTTTGCAAATTCTTTCATTAACTAAATTAGAGTAGACTAAATTTTTATTGTAATATTCGCACAAATTCTACTCTCAGATGAAACATGTTCAATTTCATGTAATGAAATATATATTCGTGAGCATCTGTTTTAGATTTTGCGAAAAGATGGCGCACTAAAGGCACATTAACTTGTAGAATAATGGTCAAAAGGCGAATAACACTCTGGCAGAATATTTTGTTATCAAGAATCATAAAAAAAAAATGCATTTTGTATGTTAGAAAAGTAACTGTCGCGTAACAACTTTACAACAATGTAAAATTTTGTTCAAACCAGCTGCGTCAAACAAGGTACGAATGAGGATTAACTGTGTCACAACAGAACTTGAAACAAATAATTCTGAAATCGTTCTAAAAACGAAGATAGATAAGAAAGAACAGAATGGTGAATTCAGAAGAAACAGATTAATTAATAGAGAAATTAACGTGTGACGCGAAAAGATACATCTGGTGCTGGTCCTCATGCAATTCGGCTTCTGCGGTATAAATCTAATGATGGAGAGCGACGACGTGGACGATCTCACGGCAAATACCATCACCATGCTGTTCTTCACGCACAGCGTGGTCAAGCTCATTTACTTCGCCGTGAGGAGCAAACTGTTCTACAGAACCCTCGCCGTTTGGAATAATCCGAACAGCCATCCACTGTTCGCCGAGAGCAACGCGCGTTACCATCAGATCGCCGTGAAGAAGATGAGGATACTGTTGCTGGCGGTCATAGGGACCACGGTACTATCGGCCATTTCTTGGACCACCATTACTTTCATCGGCGACTCCGTGAAGAAAGTCATCGATCCTGTTACCAACGAAACTACATTCGTCGAGGTACTGCCATCATTTCGTTCGCTACAACGAATGGCCAAGTTTCCCAAT